GTGGCCATTGCAACAACAAAAAAAATAAACAAATGGGACTTAATCAAACTGAAAAGCTTCTGTTGAGCTAAGGAAACAGCAACCAAAGCAAACAGACAACCTTCAGAATGGGAAAAGACTATTTATTATGAATCGGACAAAAGCACAATAAGTAGTATCTCCAGAGAACTCAAATTTATCAACAAAAAGACCCAACAATCCTATATATCACTGCGCAAGAGACATGAATAGAACCTCTAAAGAAGACAGACCAGTGGCTAACATATGAAAAAGTGCTCATCGTCCCTAATCATCAGAGAAATGCAAATCAAAACCACCCTGAGATACAACCAGTGAGAATGGCCCACATCACAAAGTCTCAAAGTTGCAGATCCTGATTTGGATATGGAAGGCAACACTTTTACACTGCTGGTGGGACTGCAAACTAATGTAACCTTTCTGGAAGGAAGTATGGAGAATTCTCAAAGAACTCAAATCAGACCTCCCATTTCATCCTGCAATTCCATTACTGGGCATCTACCCTGAAGAAAAAAATCATTTTTATAATAAGGACATTTGCACTAGACTGTTTATTGCAGCTCAATTTACAATCACCAAAACATGAAAACAACCTAAATGCCCACCAACCCAGGAATGGATTAACAAGCAGTAGTATATGTACACCATGGAATACACTAAAAAAGATGGACTGGGGTGGAACACATTCTTCTTAGTAAAGTGTCTTAAGAATGGAAAAACAAGAATCCAATGTACTCAGTTCTAATGTGAAGGCAGTAGATGAGCTAATACAAGGTGAGGGGTAAGGGAATAAGGGAGCAGGGAGAGGGGAGAAGAGAGGAGGATGGGGGGGTCACAGTGTATGACACACCTCTTTAGAGCGGGGCACAATCATAAGAGGGACTTTACCTAACAAATGCATCAATGTAACCTAACTCTTTATACCCTCAATTAATCGTTTAATCCCAAACGATTAAAAAAAAATAAAAAAATAAAGCAATCCCCAGATTCAGTGAGGGATGGTAGAAGGATTCATTTCTGCAACAGCTGCTGGTGGCTTTAGTCAGATGGACTGTCAGGTTTATTTTTGGTTGGTGATCAGACCTGGGGAAGCTGCTGAGTGCCTGGAGCTCTCAAGACACCGGGGACCCCACACAAAGACCAGAGCAGAGGGCAGGACCACACAGTAGCTCTGCTGTTCTGTCCTATTATTTCAGTTCCCCCTCAGGAGACCTCTCCAGCCTGGCTTCTCCTCTTTGATGACCAGTCACCCCCTCCCCACAGCCCCTCTGTGCCCTCTCTCCCTTGGTGTCCATACGTGTCACTCCGGTGGCTTCACCCACTTTTTCCATGCAGGGCACCCTATCCCCACCCCAGCCAGTTTCCTGAGTGCTGCCGACACGTTTCCAGCGGCCTCCCCTTTGGATGCTGTCTTGGGATCTGCTATCGTCACCTTTAGTCCCCGAAACCTCGGCAAGGCTGCGATCATGCATCTCTTGCTCAATGGGACTCAACCTGCCCCGGCCTCTCACAGTCGGTCATCTTCGAGTCCTGCCAACTCCTATTCTACAATCTTTCCAACACCCCCTAAAACCCAGGGAGCAGGCTAGGGGACTCACCGAGCCATTGAGGCCATTTTGGGTGGCTGTTTTCTTCACCTCTGGCTTGGAGGCAATGATGAGGTAGGTTTCAATGCCCTTCTCCTCTAGGTAATCACAGCGGCTGCCCCCATCGCCTGGCTCCACGTCAAATTCTCCTTTCAGGCAGTCCAAGGTGCTCTGGGAGATGTGCACGCGCCTGGATTGCAGCCGGGGAGTCCTTGAGCACCGGCCAGCAGCAGCCTTCTCCCACCCCCGTGGAGGTCAGCAGACTATAGCCACACTGGCTGCTGCTCAGGCCTCAGTCTTCCAGGCACATGGGGCAGAGACCAAGTGCCCACCACTAACTAGCTCTAGGGGCAGAGGGTACTTGCTCCCTCCAAGCCTCAGCATTGGATCCCTAAGTGAGAATAGCTTTTCCTCGTGGCAGCTGGGAATACCAAAAGTCATAAGGAAGGTGAAAATCTGCTCTGAACCCTGAAGTTGTAAGGTCTGATTATTCTTCATATCACCGACTGCCGAGAGGTAATAAAACCCGTTTCTGAGGAGTCATAACTGAGGGAGAGAATCGGAACTGCCTTGGAAGGGAACTCCTTGACCAGGGGGAAATGGCCAGCCTGTCCACCCTGCAGGCAGGGCCTGACTGACTGGCTGATCCCGTCACAGAGCAAGTAAGACACGCCAGCGCCTTGTAACCTCCAGGTCCTGCCCCTGTGCCTGTCAACTGACTGTTATACTCTAGACTTGGGGATACCTGGGCTGTGACATCAGCAGACCTGGGGAAGCCCCACAAGTGGGTAAAGGGAGAGACCACTGTGGGGGTCCTGGCAGGAGAAGTCACATCTAACGTCAGCCCCAAGAGGCAGGTGCCCCAGGGGAGGTCTCTGCACTGCATCTGCTGCAGGGGGCAGTGCTGCTCCTGGGAAGAAGGGCCTTTCTTTGAGGCCCCCCATCGCTCAGCAGGGCAACAGCCCAGAGGGATGGATGGGATGGCCTCTCCCCTGGTCCTCACACCTGCCCACTCGGAATGGCACTCACCCAGGGATGCCACCAGCTTCCATCTTGTTGGCCACGGTGACGTCAGTAGACCACACATCATACTGCCAGCGCTTCTGGCCCAGGACGCCCCCCAGCACGGTGCCCGTGTGCACGCCCACACGCATGTCCACCCCGGTCTTGGTCTTCTCCCGCACATACCTTCCAGGTCACACAGAAAGGACGAGTTTGTGTGTGGACCACCCCCCGGGAGGACTTCTGCATGGCACCCCCTTCCCAGCCAGGCTGAGGCCCGGCAGGCGCAGCTTTCTGTCTGCCTTGGGGCTGAGCAACCTGCTGCAGGGCCCAGGTAGCCCAGGCCTGTGGGACTGGTGGCAGAGCGGGTCTCCTCCCCTCTCCCTGTTCCCTGAGGGCCCTCCAGTTCCTCTCCCACTGTCCTTTATTCACTGGTGCAGCTATGATTTCACTGAGCACGTTCTAAGCGCTGCAGATGCAGAGGTGAGCAAAACGCCTCAGAACTCCAGGAAGAGGCAAAGAGGAAATTCAGAAATTTGCCTGCTGGGGAGGGGACAGAAGGTTGATGTTTCTAATCTTGAACCTCAACCGCCCCCTTCCCTGGGTAAAAGGCAGCATTTTTTCCTTTCCAGGCCAATACCAGAGGCGCTCTAACTTGGAAGACTAAAAACGCAAAGCCACCCTCTCAGAGATGTGATGCCGTCACCCCGGCCCCCCAGAGAGCTTAACTCACCTGAGGAACTGCCCTTCCTGAGCTCTCCCAGGCCACTCAGAGCAGTGACAAGTGGGAAGGGTGAGGGGAAGACAGTTTACCTCCCACATAGCCTCTGCCCACATCACATGGCTTCAGCAGTCACCTCTTTAGAAGATGAGGGGGGCAGTCCCTGCACCCGCCTATGGGGGGCGCAGTTAGAAAACACTGAGGAGGCAGGAGATGTGCAGGAAATGTGGGTGGTGTGGCTGGGCATGGTAGCTCATGCCTGTAATCCTAGCACTCTGGGAGGTGAAGGCTCAGGAATTCAAGACCAGCCTGAGCAAGAACAAGACCTCCTCTCTACTAAAAATAGAAAACCTAGCCAAGGGTTGTATTGCACCTATAGTCCTGGCTACTCGGGAGAAACTCAAGTGCAAGAGTTTGAGGCTGCTGTGAGCTATGACACCATAGCACTCTACCCAGGGTAACAGAGTAATACTCTGTCTCAAAAAAAAGTGGGTGGTGTGATGCATTTCACAGCTGCTTTTTCCAGGAAAATACAAAACAAAATAGTGGAGGAGGGTTGGAGTAGCAGGCCCTAGAACCTGTAGAGGTTTGGAAATTTCCCCTGGCTGTGAGGAAGGTAAGCTATGCACTGACTTCCCAGAGCTGGGGACTGAGCCACTGTCAACCAAGGCTGAACCCCTGTGAGCTGCCTTTCACACCTCCAATGGACCCCTCCATGGGGCCTTGGCTGGCATCCGCTGGAGCAGCGCAGAAGGCCTGCTCCTCCACTGGTGCAGGGTCAGGACCATGTGCCCTGGGGCCCCCTCCCACCTGAAGGCACCCCACTTACGAGATGGCCTCCACCATGGCGAGCCCCATGAGGATGGAGCAGACAGCATGGTCCTCGCGGTAGTCGGGCAGGCCGCAGATGCAGTAGTAACAGTCTCCCAGGATCTTGATCCGCAGCTGGTGGTATTTCTGAAAGGCCAGGGCACGGCCTATGCTCCTGAGTCCCTCCTCAGCCATGGGGCAGTGGCAAAGAGAGCAAAGGAAGGACAAGTGGGAGGAAACGAGGGAGCCAGGGCGGGGGCAGGGCACTTACAGCTGCCAACTTGTCGAAGCGGGCAAAGAGCTCGTTGAGCAGCTTCACGAGCTCCTGGGCACTGCAGGCAGAAGACAGCTGGGTGAAGCCCACGATGTCCGCGAAGAGGATGCTGAGAGAGGAGGGAACCACAGGTGGTGAGTGACACCACCACCAGCCCCTGCCCCAACCACAGGGCAGCCGGGACGACCGTCAGTGGGACAAGGTCTTTGCTCAACTCCCAGGGAGACCCTGGTGCTTCCAGGCAAAATCAGGGCCTAATACTTCAGCGGGTCCTTGTGGACTTTCCCGCTGTGGGCTCCCTGCCCTGAGGGGCCTGGGGACCACCCACACTGCCCCACTCCTGCCCTGGGCTGGACACATCCTCCTTCCTGGAATCATGGGTCAAGGTTCTAGCCCCAGTGCTGTCCCTGAATGGGCTGAGTGACCTTACAGGAGTCCCTTCCCCGCCCTAGCAGAAGTCTGTCCAATGATGAGTTTGGACCAGGCAGCTTGAAGCATGTGGCAAGCCCTGACGTTTGCCAGCATGGCTTCTCCTGAAAATGGAAGTCCCTGGGGAAACTCTCAAAGCCCTGAGTACTCAGCAGGGTCCACAGGGAGGCATCACGCCACACAGGCCCTTGGTGCTCAGCAGGGCCCACAGGGACGCATGGCGCCACACAGGCCGGCGCACCTGACGTTCTCGTGGCGGTACATGTACATGGTGTTGAACTGCTGCTGGTCCTTCTGGCTCTCGTCTTTCTTCATGTCCTTCAACATCTCATCAGCCACGTGCTTAGGCAGGATGGACAACATGAGGTTCTCCTGGGAGAAGGAGACGGGTGAGAGGGGAAGGCGAGGCCTGGCCTGGAATTTTACAGAGGCAAGTTCAAATAATCCTGGGGAGAAACCCCTGACCTGGAGAGAAATGTCATCCAGGACCCGCACTGACCTTCCATAGAGAACTCAAGACTCATGTCCGGAGGCAGCTAGGGGCCCAGGACAGGAAGCTTCTGGCCCTGAGAAGGCTCAGCGTCATGACAGCCCCTTCAGAGCACTAAGGGAGTCAGAAGTGCCTCAGGGAAACCCACTCGTGGCTCTGTGCCCAGTATCCTCCTCATGCCACAAAAAGTGTGACAGCCCCTGTGTCAGCCACTGTGCTTTCAGCTCTGAGGACAAGATCTCTGTGGAGTCATCTCATGTTACCCACCATGCCTGACATGCAGGTTTGACCTGACTGAGGACCTCTTGTGTACTAGGTGCCACATTAGGTGCCCGTGATACAAAATCAGAGCACAAGGTTGCACCTCAGAGAGCTGAGGGTCCTGTGGTGGACACAGGTGGCCCAGTGCAGTGGGTGTATTGCCCCACATGCCCAGAGAGGGGGGAGAGCAGAGGATGGTGCACTCAAAAAGGGAGGCAGCATTAAGGAAGCCCACCTGAAATTGAGCCTTTGCTCAAGATGCTGAGAGTGTTCCTGTCACAGGGGCCACATCTAGAAGGTACAGGTGCAAACCCTATAGCAGGGTCAGGGACCTGCGTGTACTACAGTGGAGACAGAAACAGAAACGCGGCTTGGGAGCCAGGCAGGGCTTAGATAGCGGTCAGCAAGCTGTGGCCTGTGGGCAAACTCTGGCTGCTGTCTGTTTTCATTAATAAAGTTTTACTGGCACCCAGCCATACTCCTTTGTTTACCGATTGTCTCTGGCTGTTTTTGCACTCCAATGCAGAGCTGGGTAGTTGCGACAGAGACCATATGGCCCGCAAAGCCAAAAATACTTATTATGTGGCTCTTTTCATAAGAAGTCTGTGGCTTGGGCATCTGAGAGGATGGTGCTGGTCTCTGAAACAGGGAACACAGGAGGAGCAGCAGATGTGAGGGCAAGGCGGGAGTCTGGCTCCAGGGAGCTACAGTCACCACATGGGGGTTTCCCTGCAGGGGACATGCAGGAGAGACCAGTGGGCTGAGCCCTGGGAGCTGCCAAAGACTGAGCAGAAGGGAAAGAGAAGAGCGAGACCACTGACAGAAAAGATGCTGGAGGGTGGGAGGTTGGCGGAGACCCAGAAGGGAGCCTTGTCAAGGTGGAGGATGGTGGCCGGGGAAGGATGACGTGAGAAACGAGAGAGAACCTCAAGTTGAGGTTTTGTAGGATGGAAACTGTCAAAGGTCAAGGGGCAGGAGAATTGTGGCTAACAGCAAAATGACTTATCTAAGGCCTAAGCAGCTAAAGAGGCCAGCCCGGGGGAGGTAGAGGCTACAGCCAAGGGCTCAGATACAGAAGAAGCCAGAAGCCATAGCAGGGAAGCAGGGAGGGCTGAGGGTGGAGATATGGCTAGAGGGCAGGCAGCCACTGAGCCCCAGGTAGAGCAGGTGACCAGCCAAAGTGTCGCCAGGGGTCAGCTGCTGGAAGTCCGAGTGAGGTTGGAGGACTCGAGATACCCAGGAGATCTATGTCCGGAGTGTGGGTCACAGAAGTTAACCAGGTCTGGGGTGACCAAAAAACTAAGAGCTACTGGCTCGGTCCTTACCACCTGAGGCCTGACCAGGGCTTGCTAGACCATAGTGAGGCTGTGGGTCCCAGGCCAATGGGCCAGGAGCAGGGGACCTCATCTCCTGCTAAGGCCTGTGCAGGAGAGGTGGACTAGGTGCAGTTGTGCCCTGATGCCCCAAAGAGCTCAGTTCCAGTGCACATCAGACACACCTGCTTGGGGGCAGGAGAGGCAGGTGCAGCCCAGGGATACAGCTCAGGCAGAGGGTAAGCTCTTGTCTTCTGGATGGAGCTGTCAAGAGGTCCCCAGAGATGGGGGTACTCTCACTTTGGAAACCAGAGGTCTGGCACCTGGCTTCCCAGGGGAGAACCAGCCCGCTGCAGACACAGGCCCTCCCTTCTCCCAGCATGGGCCCCATACCAGGAACCCCATCCTGTCATACCAGGGTCCCTCTCGTCTGTGTTCTGTGGTTTTATGATGAGCATTAATCATCATCTTTCTTGCAGTGAATCATACCATTAGGACAAACCAGTGTGCCTGGCACCAGCTCCAGGCTAAAGCACTTACGGCAGTTTTACTATTATTCTTCCATTTCCACAGCGATGTCTCTTCATTGTGAAGAACTTTGTAAATGGCATCATTACAGCTCAGGAATGAGAAGCCAAACCCACTCTCAGGAAGCAGAAGCCGGTTCTCCAGGCCCCCGCAGCTCAGACAGAGCAAGCGCACAAAACAGTACGGGTCCCTGCCCACGCCAGAGGGTGCTGCCTGGTGCCCCAGAGGCTGGCCTGGCAGGCAGTGCCCATGTGCTATGTGCTACTGGGCAGGTTTCGGAACTCCCCTGTGCCTCAGTTCCCTAGGCAATGAAGCAGAAGGACTAAGAAAGTCACTAACACAAAGTGCTCAGAACAGTGCCTGGCACATATTAAGGGCTCAAGGTGCTTTACTTACTCTGTGCCACCTGATATAAAGTGTTGCTGAGGGTCTTAAGACAGCAGATGGCGCAGAAAGATGACACCTAATCTTCCTTTGGGCTTCAAAGCTAGCCACAAGTATATAGAGTAAGAGTTCCAGTAAGATGTCCCCTGGTCAGCAGAGAACCCTTTTGGTCACTCAGCCAGGCCTCTTAGCTCCGTTTAGCAAGGGTAGGATGACAAAGGTATACAAAGAAGGACCCTGCCTCCCATTCAAGTCTCAGCCCTCCCACGATGTGGGTACACAGGCGCTACAGAGGAGAGGGGGCGCAGGTGTGTGAGCAGGGAGGGGACATGGAACGTGAGGTTTGCAGCCCCCACACTCAGGCCCCTGCCATCCATCTCAGACGCTACCTCTGAGCTCTGTCCCTCCAGAGAGCCTCTCCGAGTTCACTTGGAACCTTGGAGACACTAGAGTCCAATCCAGTTCTGTAAAGGGCTCCCTGCCTTGACCAAAGTCCTAATTCCCCTCCAAACATTATCTCTGACATTGTCAACTAACACAGAACAAAGGCAGTGACAATGGCAGAGGCACAAAATCAGAACAGCCCTGGAGTCCAAAACACAGGAGCTGCAGGAGGTCCACATGACTAACTCAG